TGAATATCGTACAGTCTTGTTTTGGGTGGTCGACCCAATTTCCATAGATCGCAAAATGACAAAAAAAAGTATTAGCCTGAGCCTGACTCATTATGAAACCATGGCGGCTTCTTGCGAAATGCAGCAGAAATTCTGGTTGCTAGCGCGCTTAATAACATGTGTACGTCAAGAACGGATAGGGTAAACACACGCGTCGCCTGTGTTTTTTTAAAAACATCATACTTGTTCTTCTTCCCTTCTGGTTTGTATTTAATTTGTACCCAATTTATCTCCAGGGCAACTCATTACTTCAACTAAAATTCTCATTAATATTGAATTGACCCATGGGACAGACTTCTACCAAGTTGAAAGTTCTTCCTTTACTTATTGCAACCAACCAACATGACAGTAATACAATAGAAGATACGTGAAATACATTGAGGAATCCCTAAAGTCTAACTCTTACTGTTGTGAACTTTTCAATCTATGTCAGTCCCTTGATGGAATAAAAGAATGTCATGTCAAATATTAATGTTAACCTGCAGTCTCTACGGAATTACACCCTTGTTTTCATTATCAGGCCACACCAAGTAAATTTTATGGATGACGTCCGCGCGCGCATTGATTTTGGAATGTTCCTTGAAAAAAAAACAAGAAATTCCGCTTCCTGTAACTATGACCAAAGAGTCACGACAGTGCAGCAAATCGTCAGATTGACGTAAACCCGTAAGGCGAAAACAGGACAGGACGACAACTGCTGTTCCACCTGATTTATTGCTGTTTTGATGATGAATAAAAGACTTCTTGGTTGTTACACTGTGTCACCTCATTCAATTTGTGTCCTAACATTTGTCGTCTCTATTCCTAATCTAGGCATCTTGTTTCTTAGGGACCTTCTTGTTTTTTTTTCGCCCTCTCGCATTAGATTTAGGGTCTCCAAAGGACGTCATCCATAAAATTTACTTGGTGTGGCCTCAACAATAAATTATCAAAGGCTAAGAGGGGCATCAGATAGTGAGTCTCTTAGTCAATATCATTAATTTTACATGACTGTAAAGCAAATTTGAGTTATTACTAATGGTCTGCCACACCATTTTAACACCTAGAGTGTCACTGAAAGATTCTAAAGTTAAAAATATAATCATAGTTCTAATCTGACTTGACACTATAATGGTGGTTAATCTTTAAAAGGACGGACAAAAATGACCAAAACAAATATTTTCTTGCATGTGACATAACCAGTTTAACCAGTTTAACTAACTAGCATGGCTCTCAAAAATATATTGTGTGACTCATATACCAAGCCTGTAAAGAGGGCCTGCATGGGGGGGATAGTGATTACGAATTACGCAAAATATTTGCCGCCGATTACGAATTACATTAAAGTCTCAGAGCTGATTACGACTTTACGATTTGCTGCTAATTTCCTATTACGATTTACGTTGATTTTTGCGGAGGCTGCCTTCGAATTACGAAGTCTAAAAAGGCCTGATTACGCCTTACGCATGCAGGCCCTCTGTAAAGCGATGCACAAAGCATGATGCTGCTTTATCATTAGCTAGCAGTGTAACATGGCTTTGCTATGACTCATGTTAAAGCTTATTATGCAAAATTGCTTTTCATCTGAAAAATCATTTCATCAGGACTGATGCACATAAGCATGATCATGATGCTTTTAATCATCATTAGCTAGCAGTGTATTTACTGTAAAATGGCTAAGTGCTATGACTCCTGTTAAAGCTCAGCAAAAATTGTTGGCTAGTTTTAGTTTCATCTGAAAAATCATTTCATAAGCATTTTATCGGTGGCAGGTGGTTCTATAGCCCAGAATGTGCAGATGAAACTGTAACATCATCGATGCCTTACCTGTCTATCTTGTCACAACCAGTCAGCTAAAACTGGATCAACATCACTTTGAAATTCCTTGTCTGACTGTTCATGATCATGATCATGATCATGTAAATTTTAAAGTTAGCTATAATAGAATTTCTATCTAGCCTAATGCTATCATATTAAATATCAGATTCAAGTTCTGAAGAGAGGCAGTTCTACTTGAATTATCTCAATTTTTTTTGTCAGAGCACCTTTAAGGTGTACCTGTCCAGTGCAAATGAATTTTGAGGATTAGGTGTACACCTCTGGTGCAGTGTTCAAAAGTGACACTAAAATGAAGATTTGTTTGAATGCAACAAAAGAAATTATACTGTAACTGTGTGAATCCCAAAATCATGTGACAGTTTTTAAAGACAATGAGCCAACGTATTAAGGCCTGACACAAATTTGATTTCTTATGGATTTAAAAAATGTGCTAGGTGAATTAAGAGGTCTCAGAAGTACTTTGGTGCACACAATTTTGGGAAGTGAAATATAATTCATTTTTATTAAATGAATTTTCATCCCAGTCTGTTTTAAAATGCACTGTCATTTTAATATTATCACCAACAAATCAAATTGGTGAGTCCTGATAGAGGGCCTGCATGGGGGGGGGTAGCAATTACGAATTACGCAAAATTTTTGCCGCCGATTACGAATTACGTTAAAGTCTCAGAGCTGATAACGACTTTATGATTTGCGGCTAATGTCCTATTACGAATTACGTTGATTTTTGCGGAGACTGCCTACAAATTACGAAGACTAAAAAGGCCTGATTACGCCTTACGAAAAAGGGCATGCAGGCCCTCCTGATAATTAAAAAAAAAGTAAAACAAAACTCTCCACACCTCCTAAGTCTGACGTGATGGACGTGCGGGTTCCGAACCCTCTCATATTACCTCCGCGCGCCGACATCGTACTTCCCTGCCGCGAAAGTCCCTCCCCCTCTCCCGCAGACATCCTGGAAATCCTGCGATGACTCAGCGAGAACGAAAGACGTTGTATCGAACTGTTACTTTGTTGCGAGCTCCTACGATTGAACGACGCAGAGAAGCCATGTTGGAGAGGAGCGTCCACCATCTTGGCGGAGTCTCAATGTCACCTTCAAACCTGGAGAACAAGAAATAGACCATTAGAAATGACAAGCGTTGTATCAAACTCTTATTTTGAGAACAAGAAATTTGTTTGTTTGTTTGTTTATTTTCTTAAGCCAGGAAATGCATCTCGCCTGAGGGCGTTTTTCAATGTTTCCTTGGGGGAAAACCCCTAAAAAAACCATTGACATAAAAAATCACCTCAGTTCAAATTATAATTACAACAAAAGTAACAAATAAAGTTATGCAAATTACAGATTGATGCAAAATCAAAGTAACTTGAATAACAAACATGTCATACATAAAATCATACTACCAAGATAACCGAACTAATACTAACCTTAACATCATATAACATGGTACGACGGTAAATCTGACAGGACAATAAAATAAAAATGTATTCGTTTGATTAAGGAGTGTATGGCCCTGCAGTTCCTGAACAAGCTGCTAGAGGCCCATTTGCAAACTCACATCACTTCTTTACTAATACATTTCCTATCACCCAAATTTCATGACCCTTGCGTGCCCAGATCATAAAGCCTCTTCCACTTCGAGAAGCCATTAGGGGGCTAAAATCTAATAATTTTGAGGTCTCACCAAGACCTACCCACATACCAAATATCAAGACTACTGTAATCCATCTAATCCTTATTCTTGAGTCATTAAGTAACTCACACACACACACACACACACTGAAAGACACATACATGTACACACACAGACACATAGAAAGACACACACACACAGACACACAGAAAGACACACACACAGACACACAGAAAGACACACACACATAAATGCAACTGAAAACATAAGCAAAGCTTAAAAAGTCTTGCCATTTTTCTTTTGTTTGAACTTCAAGCAAATATTAGCTAATTATCAGTGCAGCTTTGGAGATAACATTGCACCCTCAGTCTCAGATGGTGACAAGTTGTTTTTCACACCTTGACTAAATTAAATACTTTCGTTGACTGAATGGCAGGTAAACCACACACAGTAGTCACGACATCCGAGTACATGTGACAACTTCAAATCGCGATCAAAAGTTATGCAGATCACATGCAATTAAAACGAAGCCAATTGCATTTCTGGATTAAAACGTGTCCAAAACAATTAACTTCATTACAGTAACAGTTCAGCTACTAGGGCCACACCAATTTAATTTCTTGGTTAACAGATTCGCCCGCTTCATTTTTTTGATTTGCCAAGAAAAAAATTCAGAATCAACTGGAAAATGCTCATTACAATATTTTGCCCTGAACAGTTGAAAACAGTCCTTTTCTTCCTAGTTGTTACAGTTATTCCATCTTTCACTGCAGTAGTATCATTAAAAGTTCAAAATTCATTGTTTAAATTTTGAAGCAGCCAGGTGTGTTGACTTCATGCCTCCTATCGTACCATTTTGGGCCATAATAGGATGCCTAAGGCCTGTTTAAATTTTTTTGCCCGCTCCATTATTTTTCTAGAAAAATCCGTTAACCAAGAAATTAAAGTGGTGTGGCCTTTGATGAAATGTTGAACTTAACATCTTTTTCGGGCTGTTCCTTTGACATTTTTTTCTCGAGGGATTTGCTTGGTCCCTAGTTACCTTTAATAGAAAAATCAACAAACGTTGCTACATAATTCACTTATGTCAAATCATACAATATTGGGTTCACATTAAATCTGTACAATTCAGTTCTAAAATACCTTTCGAAAAAAAAATTAAAAAACTACAATATACTTTGGCAGACCTACCTAGTATCTCAAGTATCAAATTTTTAAAGCATTTACAAGGACAAATATTTATAGAATTTGAACATTAATACAATCAAATTTTACACTAGCCTATACATCAAGCAAAGCATATTAATTTCTACAATCTGTTCAAAATACTATAACGAAAAATATGATTTTAAATCTACCTGTTTTCAGTGAAAAATCCAAAGAAATCTGACGACAGCTGTCTTTTGTCAACCGTGACTCTGTCCCAAATACTCACTAGAGAGCTCAGATTCTCCATTCAAAGGATTTGATGTTTGGGTTTAGCTCATTTGGTCATCAAAAGGGGGGTTTCAAAAATTTCCAAATACAAGACATAAACCTATTAATCCAATATCATATAATTTTTTTAAAACTTTTAATGGAAAACAGGTACCTAGCATGCTCTTTGGCATTTGTAGAAGTTTTGAGTCAAGGGCAATTTATTCTACTAATTTTTATGTGATTTCATTGCCTCCCTCCTAATTGAATGGTACATCCCGTGTTGAAAAGTCGCACTTATCATTGGTGGTAATAAATGCTGCAATTACAAATATTTGCCCTCTCTGTCAAACACGTCGTGCCGCAGGTATTTGCGCCAGAAAGGTGGACATACCGGCGTTGCCCCTGGCAACCAGGCTAATGTCACACAATTTGCAGTGCCTTTCTTTGACGAGGGTGTGAAAGGGGTTTTTATGGAAACCTGACTCCCTTAAAAAACTTGAAGAATGAGGGTGTGAAAGAGGTTTTCATGGAAACCTGACTCCCTAAAAAATAAGTGAACCTGAACTGTTGAATACTTAGGAAAAAATTGTATCAGATCTCGAAAATGTGTTAAGAAATGGCAGTAAATGTCAATATCAGACAGATTTCTTCATCCAGAATATTTTTTTGTATTACCGCCTTGAAATCACTTTGGATGCCTTTAAAAAAGATGCCTTTAAACTTTTTTAAAGGCATCCAATGCAATTTTTAAGGTTTGGAAACCAGATTTTCCAGTCAATATTCTAGTCACTTATCTACATACTGAGTTGAAACAATACTGTCCCAATGTGTACCAACATTCATGGAGCATAAATGACCAAAATTCTGATGAAAAAAAGGTTACTGGCTTGATTTTAGGGTACCACCCAGAAAATAAAGGCCTCATCTTGGGGCTTGTTTCTGCAGTTTTAAATGCCTTAAGTATGAAATTCTGATTTAAATGTGCTAATGTGGGATAATACGTGTCAATAACATATAGATTGCCTAATTCAAAATATTTCGTTTTGCCACCCTGATATTGCATTTTTGTAAACCTGAAACAACGGACTGCATTTTTAAAGCCCAAACTCTATCAGCCTGTTTGTTAAGTCTAATTGCCGGGCTGTCATCAGTCATTCCTGATGGTACAGGAACAGAACAGGTGTGCTGATTTTGGAAGCTATGTATGGGGTTTCACGCCACCTGTTTTCTTTTACAAAATTATTGGGGGCCTGCATGCCCTTTTCTGTTGAGAGTATTCGGCCGTTTTAATTCTACATAGAGCATAGACAGACTGCTCTAATTCAACATAGAGCGTAATTGGCGAATTTTGAGTAAAGCGTAATTCACCGTTTTAATTCTACATTATGTGTTGTAGCTATACCTGAAATTATTGTGAAACATAATCAAGAGGTTTCCTGAATTCAGCGTAATATTTAGCTCTCAAAATTTAGCATATAGCGTTGTCGGGACCCCCCCATGCAGGTCCACATTATTATATACACATAGTACTAGCTTAAAAAACTGAAAGAAAAGCCCCAGCCCATATTGCAACTATGTTTTGTCGCAGATATCTTAACTACCCGATAGCAGACTACTGTTGATGGAGGATACTTTCAATAATTGCAAGTGGTAGCAACAAAATAAATAGAGATGATAATATCTGAAATGTCTGATTCTTCTGAGAATTTATCTAACATTACTAGTATTCATTTTATTCTGTATGACCTAATGTTCTACTTGGATTACTAACCTTCTTCGATATGCAAGAGGGAACATCTTGTTTTTTGCGCCCTTAATACGTAGGGCCTAGGAAAAAAAAATATAATAATTGTGTTTCCTGTTTCCCGACCGACCCTACAAAAAAAAAACTGCTGACCCTAGACCTTTTTTGTGTGGACCTCTGCAAGGGACATAAATAATTTTTTGAGCTGATCAACCTTTTTTAGCAACATGGTCTGACACCTGAGTGATAAAACATTGTTTAATTGGTTTTCTAGCATTGACATTAAAAAATAAAAGTGTCCTCATGCAAGTTTAACAAGAAAGAAAAAAGATAATCCCTACCTACCAACCCTAATTTTTTCAGGACTGAAAAGGGAAACACAACATTTTTTCCTAGGCCTAGGCCACACCAATTTAATTTCTTGGTCAACGGATTTTTTGAGAAAAATAATGGAGCGGGTGGGCGAAAAAAAAAATACAAATAGGCCTAGGCATCCTATTATGACCCAAAATGGTACGATAGGAGCCATGAAGTCAACACACCAGGCTGGTTCAAAATTTAAACAATGAATTTTAAACTTTTAATGATACCATTGCATTGAAAGATGGAATAACTGTAACAACTAGGATGAAAAGGACTGTTTTCAACTGTTCAGGCAAAATATGAGCATTTTGCAGTTGATTCTGAATTTTTATTTTTATTTGCAAATCAGAAAAAAACGAAGCGGGCGAATCCATTAACCAAGAAATTAAATTAGTGTGGCCCTAATACGTAATATGGTTTGTTTGTGGTTACAGCTAATGGTAGTAGCCCATTAATAATCCAACATGTAATCATAGATATCAGTGTACACACGGACACACACAAAAGGTTAATAAATCATTCATGAACGGTTCAATGGGATATTTCTAGAACGTATGTCACTGTGTACATAGCTATTGTGTTAAACGCTTGTGTGTAATTTGTTAATGGTTATAAGATCTCAATTGTTAAATGCAATAGGAGTGCATCCGAAAGAGTTCATAAAGGTATTTGAAAAAATATGATTATTATGGGTCAGATATATTGAATATTATGATGAAGTTAGTTCGCTTTTCCGAAAGTAAATGAAATACTGATTTGAAAAAAATTGATTCTAATAATTTGTACATCTTGTCCATTCCTTTTTATTAGCTAGCTGTTTAACTTGAATATTATGAATTTTATGTTTATTATACAGTATCTTCTTTACCTTTTGACTTTAATTATAAAATAATATTAATTATAAAAGCTTCATTATGAATTCATGCCCGATTGTTAATTG